TGGGAAGATATGAGACTAATTTTTGATGGCCCTAAAATCAAAACAGGTATCACCCTAAAGCAACACATTTTGGAGTGGAATCTCAAATCACACCATGGCACGCTTAAAGGCAACATGAGAATAATTCTTCCTAGAATTATAGCTTGGTCAATTTGGAAACACTACGCTGCTATTATGTTCGAAAATGAGGATATAAACTTACCTATTATCAAGAGGAACATCAAGCTGGACCTATCTAACTGGTGTTGGAAATTCAGAAAAAAGGGCTGGATGATTCAAGATAAGAACCTCACTGATCAAGGATTCCAATCTTTCGCCTTGGAAGGTACCTTCATTCGCAAATGCGCCGGAATGGAGAAAGAGAAACCTGGGCCCTAGGATTTGCTGCCATTGGGCCTGCAATTAAAGATGACTGTCCCACATTTCATTCCTGAAATATGCCTTTTATTTTTCATGTCTTTAATTTCTACTTTCGGGGCAAGGTCTAGTCCTCCTCGAACGTGCGTTACTTTTGTATTTCTTTTATGATCTCTTTTAATAAAAAATAAATAAATAAATAAATATATATATATATATATATACATATATATATATATATATACATATATATATATATATATATATATATGTATGTATGTATGTATATGTATATGTATATGTATATGTATATGTTTTGGTTTTGGTGAGAAAGGGATCTAATGAAAGAAATGAGAATAGTTGATCACCGTTAGATCTGCACAGATCTAGGCTGAGATACACTACTGGGCATGGGCATTTTAGGAATTTATCATTCCAATCGCCACTCTCTCCCATTTTATATTAATGGGATCCACTAAATCAGCGCATATCACCATTTATGATTCTCTTTCCTTTTTATAATATCAAGATTTGGTATTGTTCCATAGGGATACTATGCGATCATAAAGTACAGATCGAGGATCACATCTCTTTCTGTTCTTTCTCTGATGTTTCTTTTTCTGAGATATCGATCATGTACGAGAACAGGGGATTTTATCGGCTGAATCTGACGGCGATGGGGGCAGTTATTTTATCGGCTGAATCCGGCGGCGAGGGAGGCAGTTTGCCCGGAAGTTTGTCTCCCCCTCACTACAAGAAAAATAGGATACAAGGACACAATTCAAGGACACATTATTTTTGAGATGTCCTTAAAAGTTTTTTATGACACATTTTACTAAAAATATTTTTAAGGACATCAATTAAGTTTTCATTTTGAAAACTAAAATTAACAAGCCTGTTGTCCACTGCACCTATACGGAGGATATTTTACTTTAAAATTTTTTTAAACAACTTTTACTCTATAATTTTTAAAACCAAGTCAGTTAGTTGTAGACTTGTACGGATCGGAGTAGTTTCTTCTTAGTGGGTAATAATTAACCTACTACAATTAATTAATTTTTTTTAATATAAAAAAAAAGGATCAACTCCGTAATTAACCTACTGCAATTAGTTTCTAATTTTTCAGCCGCTCAGATTTTCCCTCTCTTCTTCGCACCAAAATTCTCAGCCCGCCACTGCAAAAGTCTCATTCTTCTCTTTCCCGTTTTCAATTTCAATCGATTTTTAGGGCTTCTCTTCGATTCTGGCTTCCCTATTCACAATTTTTAGGGCTTCGTTTTAGACCCTAAAAAAAATTGAGAGACGCAAGTGCTGCGATTCACCTGTGCAATTGCATCGAATTGCACTTCTCACCGTTCTTTGATCTCTTCTCAAAGGTTTTGCTCTACTCTTAAGTTTCTTTTTTTATCCAAGTTGCTTTAATTAGATTGTTTTCTAGAAATTTGAAGTGAACTTGTGAAATTTCATTGCTCATATTTTTTTTCTCCGTGTTAACAATTATTTCAAAAATTTTCAATTTATGTTTAAGTACGTGATTGTTGATGTTGATTTGAGTTTTTGATTACTGTAATCTATATGGATTGTAGCCTTGGATGTTCTCTGCTCAAGTAGATTCTTTCTTCCCTATTCACAATTCGTAGGGCTTCTTTTTCAGACCCAAAAAAATTGAGAGAAGCAATTCTTTTTTTCAGACTTTAAGACGCAAGTGCTGCGGTTGGATCGATTCACCTGCAATTTTTTTCAGACCTAAGGACACAAGTGCTGCAATTTTTTTTCAAACGGAGAACGCAAGCGCTGCAATTCATTGCAACTATATTTTTTTTATAATTTATTGTTATAGCATCTGCCCGTATGGACCAAGAAGAGGAGAACAAGTATACTGAAGATGAGATGTGTAGGTATGAGGAAAAGAAGACAAGAGGTCCAACTCTGATGTCAGACCTAATTCATGGTAAGAGCAAAGGAGCACGCTTAGAAGTAATGTATAATAGAAAGGGGCAACCAATTGGTTCTGGAGGAAAACAACTAGCTTTTTTTTATTGGAATAATGGCTCGAACCACTGTTCCAATTACATATGCCACATGGAAAGATGTACCACTATCTCTCAAAGAAATTATATGGAGCATGGTTCAGGTATGTAAAATATTACTAAAATTTTAACAGTATCATGGGCACATTAACTTACGTTATCATTTGTCTAGGTTAACCCATATGTTCTTTTGTTGTTGCATCCATGTTTCTACTATATGGATTTCTCAGGACCTTGTGGCTGCTTGTGCTTATTGAAGAAATATATTTTTAAAAATGTATTCATCCACCAACTCATTCAGATGAGGAAAAGTTAAAAGTTTAAAAAACATGTTGTAGCCCAATCTTTGTAATTATTTTTATTATTTTACTAACTTAGATGTTTTGATCTGCATTTCTAGAAATCATTCATTGTGGATAAAAGAAGCAAGAAGGATGTCTACTCGAGCGCAGGAAAGAAATGGAAATCATTTAAGAGCACTTTGACAACAAAATATTTGTTGAAGTATAAACATAATCGCAAACTGGTAAAGAAAAAACCTGAAAAGTATGAGTTCAGTCACTTTTGTTTAATGAATCCAAAAGTAAGATACAAAATGCCTATGTATGTGCATCTTCTCTTGCGTTTTGTTAGGTCAATGGCTGAAAATGAAAGAATATCTTTGATAATGGAAGATGGTGTGTTTGGCATGGAGCAAAACAATTTCATTAGCAAAAATGATATCAGTCACTTTTGTTTAATGAATCCAATATCTAGTATTTGCATTTCTATATACATGAGGTAAGTGAAGTGTGTTTAATGTACTAAAACTTATACTGTTTAACTTATATGCTATTTATATTAGAACATATATTTAAAATCTTTTATAGGCATCTTTGGTCAGTATTGCAACAAAAGAACAAGGGTCACCTGTATGGATTTGTTGATCCAAGTCACATCTCTCAATCAACTGGAAAAATTGAGGCTAGATCAAATGCATTATCACATAGATTTGAATCTGCCCACTTAGACCAGTTATTTTTTGCTCCTTATAATACAGGGTAAGTTTATGAATACAATGGTTTCACGCTAATTCTTTTTGGTAGTTCAAAAATGCAATGATAGCAAGTAGCTCATTGTTATTTAACTTTTTTGTTGTAGGAATCATTGGTTACTGGTTGTTATCAACCCTTTGGCGGCATTGGTGTAT